CTTTACTGCTAAAAATCTCTGGTATGGTCATGTTAGATTTTTGTTCTGATCTGACAAATACATGACTAGAATACAGCACACAACCAGATTGAATATATGGCAACAGAACGTCTATTTCTGTTTTGATTTTTAAGAAACAAACCAGACCTGTTCACTCCCTAGCATTTCAGATTTCTCAGAAATTAGAGAACTGATCTAGGGCTGTATTCTGTGGTAGAAAATGGCATATCAAACCATTCTGGTCGTTCCCTTCCATTCAAATGGAAAGCAAAGTGTGCCTCCCAGTGGAAGTACTTAGGAGGATTGTCTTAAACGATTGGAAAATGATTGTAGGAATTTGGACTGTGATAAACTGGCGGTGATAACTGGGCTGTTACTCCACTTCTCCAGTAGCCAAAGGTTGGGGGTGATGGTGAAGCTTCTGGTTTAGTTTTATGCAGACTTTTTTCATACTGTGTGTGCAGTGGTATTGGTCGTCTCGTTTAAGTGCTCTTAAAGCATTGCAACGGGGTTTGCGTTTTCAGCTGATTTTAGTATCTTGGGAGGGTATTTGTGTTGTAGGTAACGGTAGCTTTAGGAGTGTCTGTGCTGCTCCTGAATTAGTACTGAACCCATTTTGATGTAGTTTTGATGTAGTGAAAGTAGTTTACTTTTCACCTGTTACGGATGTTTAAACTTCAGTTTCTAGCCCATGCAGTCAGACTGTGCATTGAAAGTCGCATAGTTTTTTGGGAAAAATAAAGCTGTTTGTCTGCTTTGTGATTGTCACTTTAGCTTTCAGGTCCTCATAAATATTACTGTCTTTGTTTTGTTAGAAAGCAGAGGATAGATTTACGAACCTGAGCCTCTCGCTCTCCTGCAACGTGCAGTGGTATTTCATACGAGTGGGGCATGGAAGTACGTAGAAGAGGTTGATGGCAAATGGACATTTTTAACACCCACTTACCATTAGCTTTTTAGAAATAACTGGATATACCAAGGATCCATTTAAGAGAAAGCGGAGGGCTTTGCCCTCAAGAAATGTCAATTGCTTCTATCTAATTTAGTTCTGCGCTACCACATTTATCTCCCTGTTGTCTGCCACCACTACACTTGGTGTAAATGGGCCTACTAAGAGGAAAAGAAAATGTTAATATTTTGCAAACTTTTCTAGATAATAAAACTATTTCCTTTGTCTCAAAATTTCGTTAATATAGTAGAAAGTCTCTCCTTAGGGTAAAGGACTTCCTCGGTTCATGTAATTCATGTTATAGTATCTTGGTGTCTAACAAGTACATAATGTATTTGTCCTAATAACATGCATTCTGGCTGCCTCCTAAGGAAACAGGAGTATCATTTTACAAATGTAACATTGAGATGTGAAGGACATAAATTAAACCCCTTTGTATTTATAGGAATGTTTAATAGCCTGCATCCAAAGTTTAAAGGTGTTTAGGCTGTAGCACTTGAAACCACCAAGGGTGAGCTCCAAAAACAAGTAAGTAGTGAGATCATGAGTAGTGAGAGCAGAAGATTGATCGTCCAGACCACAGCTCTTCTCTGATCCCACAGTGTACTGGTGGCGACCAAGTCACAAGGCGTTTCGTGTAGCAGTCTATGCTGATCTTGGTTCTCGTACAGCTGAGCAGAGGTTTGATTTACAGCATGCCTGCCAGGGGTTTGATTTACAGCATGGCTGCCAGGCTCCTTCCCTCTCCTCCTCCAGCTGTGTATTCCCTCTTTGCGGTGGCATTAACGCCTGTCTATTCATGGTTACCCAGTTTGAGATAGCAGAAGAACAACTTCTTTTGTAGTGCTAATTTTCTGTTGATTTAGGTGCCTGCAATGATTCACCCTGGGCTCAAGTAAGTACCAAAGTTGATACAAAGGAAAATCCACCCTTCTGCCCTGAGAAGGATAGGGTTTAAACTGGATCAGCAAGCTAATCTGACTCATTCCTAGCCACACAGGCACT